CACACTCACAAAAGTTCAGATCGATCTTGGTATTTGTATCTACTTTTTGTTATTAGTATTAGTATATACTTTCGGATGTATTTATGTAGTGTTATTCTAAATGTTAAAAAATTTAATTATAGTACGGAACTGAATAGAACCGAACAGAATCGAATCGAACGGTTCCAAAATTATATTTGGAACCGACGGTTCCATTTACTAAATACCTGAAAATTTCTGGAACCGAACCGAACTGAACCGAACCGACCCGCGCCCAACCTTATTGACTACTAAGAACCAAGCTATGGTGGCAGGGAGGGTGTGACACCCTCCATGACGACCACACACATCGAGGGGAAATGGAGTATTCTTTTTCATTTTTTATTTCATGCAGGACCCACGTCGATCCCACGACCATGTGAGAGTCCGTCACTGAGGAGGGTAGTTTTCTTCTGTTAGAATAGCTTTATTCGACTACTAAAACTTCTTTTTTTTAAAGCAGAAACCAATGTCAAAACTGTCAAAGTGTATGTATGAATTTTGTATACAAATAGAAAGCTTCTTAGAAAATTCATTCTTCAAAAAAAGAGGATTTTTAACACGCTCATAGTACCTGGCAGGATGAATTTATAAAGTTAAATGAGGAAAAAGCTACTACGACGTCGTTTGACCACTTCTTTCCTGTTAAAATTCCTATTTCCCATTTGATGTTGACGCACTCGCATACCATTCACTCTTGGGAAAAAATACACACAGAGCCATGGCTACTTCATTGGCTGCAATGACGGCGCGCCGAGCTGCAACCTTCGCTCGGCTATCATCTCCCGGCTCAGCCGCTAGATCCGCCTCTCTGATTCCCCGCCGTGGCCTCGCTGGCGCTGCTGGTACTCGTCTTAACCTAATATTTTCAGATCGATTATATTGTGGTTATCTGTCTGTATTTTATCTTTTTCTTTTTTCACTTACGATCCAAAAGGTACTTTGTTATTGTTGTTTTTAATTATGTGGAAATGGGATTGTTGTAGATCACCATGGGCCAGCTAGGGTTGATTGCTGGAAAGATCCGATGAGTCCGTCCAAGTGGAAGGAGGAGCACGTGAGTTTCTTTTCATTACATTCGTCGTTTATTATTGAATTATTGTCATTTTGTATGGAGATAATATTGGAAGTTGTAATGAGTGAAGTTCAATCTAGGAATGAATTCACTCAAAATCAGTACCAATTTAATGATCACATCTCTAGGAGCTGAGAACCCAGTCCAATTGCTGAATATATCACGAAATTGAGAATGGGTAATGATAGAATTAAAGAAGAAGATATAAGAAGGTATAGAAGAAATAGAGAGAATTGATTAATAGAATTGGTTTTTTACATCAACAACTGACGGCACCTTCTCCTATGTTCTGTGTATATGCTCACAAACAAAATGGAAGGAAATCACATTCCCTTCTACAAAAAACACAATAAGCAAAATAACACTTTAAATGCCAGTTGTGGACCCCGCTCTTTTTTCCTTTTCTGAAAGCTAGTCACAGTTTCTTTTCCTTCTTTCCCCCCAGTTCTTCCATTGGGTTGCTGCTGGGAGTAGTACTGTCTTCATAATAAATTGAGTTATTCATGTGCCCTAAAATTAATTAATCTTATTATGTAATGTACTGTAAGTGAGTCACAACGAAGCAGGTTTATAGACTTATTTGCTTATGATGTTTGTTGACAAGCTAATTTCTTGATGAAACTGGTGTTAGGATTATTTTGGAGCCAAAATTAGTCATTGATTATGGCTAGGGATGGTAAAAACGGGTGGATTATCATTAGATTCTAGCTGTTCAAAACTGGGTCTGGATGAGAAAAGAGTTGTCAACCCTTTAAATCCTAAATTTGATATATTTACTCTTTTGAAACCAGAGACTCGTGTTCAAATTTTAGGGCCTGATTAGTCTCATGATTGGAAAAATGACTTAAAAATTCAATACTGGTTTTCTTGTCAATTTAGTCACAAATTTTCTTATTATAACTATCTCCAAATATCACGTCCACGTGCACACGGGAATGTCATGACAGCATC